GTTATACTCTGGAACAAAGAGATATGCAAAGATTAATTCAATAAAACTTTGAGTAATGATATATTGATTATAACCTCTTTTAAAAGACTAAATGAAATATTTATAGAACATATTGTTCTATTCACTTAAAGAAAATAGAAACAAACTTTAAAATGAATTTCTTCTTATAAGTGTAAAAGCAAATCAAAGATAAAAAAAATAGAAATGAATATTTCACCAGGGTTACCCCTACAGAGGTTCCAACTGGATGTAGTTGGACTCATCTCGAGGCACCGCTCTGGCTCTGGAACCAGTCTACTCAAGATGGTTTGAACACTCTTCCACTCTGGAGTTGCCCATGTTAAGAGGCGCCGACCAGGAGTGGGCATACTTATTGCCCCCCATCTCGGTGCCAGTACGTTGGGGTTCACCACATTGAACGAGAGGGTAGCCACCCTCCGTCCACGGGTGGGGGGGGGACGGGTCCTGACTGTCATTTGTGCCTATGCACCTAACAGCAGTTCAGATTACCCACCCTTTCTGGGGTCCTTGGAGTGGTTGCTGGAGAGCTCTCTTAACGTGGACTCCCTCATTTTGCTGGGGGACATCAACGCTCACATGGGTAATGACAGTGAGACCTGGAGAGGCGTTGTTTGGAGGAACGCCCCCCGATCTGAACCCGAGCGGTGTTTTGTTATTGGACTTATGTGCTCATCATGGATTATCCATAACGAACACCATGTTCAGGCATAAGGGTGTCCATAAGTGCTCTTGGCACCAGGACACCCTAGGCTTTACTTTGATGATCGACTTTGTTGTCGTTTCATCTGATCTGCAGCTGCATGTTTTGGACACTTGGGTGAAGAGAGGGGAGGAGCTGTCACCTGACCACTACCTGGTGGTGAGTTGGCTCTGTTGGTGGGGGAGGATGCTGGTCAAACCTGGCAGACCCAAACATATAGTGAGGGTCTGCTGGGAACGTCTGTCAGAGTCTCCCATCAGACGGAGCTTCAACTCACACCTCTGGGGGAACTATGAACACATTCTGGGGAAGGTGGGGGACATTGAGTCCGAGTGGGCCATGTTCCGTGCCTCCATTGTCAAGGTGGCTTACCAGAGCTGTGGCCATAAGGTTGTTGGTGCCTGTCATGGTGGCAACCCTCGAAACCACTGGTGGACACCGGCGGTGAGGGATGCTGTCAGGTTGAAGAAGGAGTCCTATCAGGTCTGTTTGGCCTGTGGGACTCCGGAAGCAGCCAATAGGTATCGGCAGTCCAAGCGGATTGCGGCTTAGGTGGTCGCTGAGGCAAAAACTCTGGCATGGGAGGAGTTCGGAGAGGCCATGCAAAAAGACTTCCGTATGGTTTCGAGGCGATTCTGGTCCACCATCCAGCGTCTCAGGGGGAAAGCGGTTCGCCACCAACACTGTTTATGGTGGGGATGGTGCGCTGCTGACCTCAACTTGGGACGTTGTGGGTCGGTGGGCGGATTACTTCGAGGACCTCTTCAATCTTACCGACATGTCTTCCCATGAGGAAGCAGAGCCTGAGGACCCTGGGTCGGACTCTCCAATCTCTGGTGCTGAGGTCACCGAGGTGGTTGGTCAAAAAGCTCCTTGGCGGCAGGGCAGCGGGGGTGGATGAGATCCGTCCAGAGTTCTTTAAGGCTTTGGATGTTGTGGGGTTGCATTGGTTGACGTGACTCCACAATATTGCATGGACATTGGGGGCAGTTCCCCGGAATTGGCAGACCGGGGTGGTGGTCCCCCTATTTAAAAGGGGGGACGGCAGAGTGTGTTCCAACAATTGGGGGATCACACTTCTGAGCCTCCCTGGTAAGGTCTATTCAAGGGTCCTGGAGAGGAGGGTCCGTCGGATAGTTGAATCTTGGATTCAGGAAGAGCAGTGTGGTTTTTTTCCTGGTCGTGGAACAGTGGACCTGCTCTACATCCTTAGCAGGGTCCTGGAGGGTGCATGGGAGTTCGCCCAACCAGTCTACATGTGTTTTGTGGACTTGTAGAAGGCATTCGACCATGTCCCTCGGGGACTCCTGTGGGGGTACTCCGGGAGTACGGGGCACCAGGCCCATTGATACGGGTTGTTTGGTCCCTGTATGACCAGTACCAGAGCTTGGTTCGCATTGCCGGTAGAAAGTCGGTCTCGTTTCTGGTGAGAGTTGGACTCTGCCAAGGTTGCCCTTTGTCACAGATTCTGTACATAACTTTTATGGACAGAATTTCTAGGAGCAGTCAAGGTGTTGAGGGGATCCTCTGTTAGTGCCCCTAAACTGTGGAACGCCTTGCCCTTACATGTCCGACAGGCCCCTTCACTGTCCCTTTTTAAAGACTTGTTTAAAAACTTATTCTTTTCTCACTGGCCTTCAACCCAACTGAGATTTGATTTTACTCAACTTTTACTGTATTGGTGCTGATTTTACTTATTTAACTGTGTGGTTTTGTTGTGTTTTTGTATTCAGTTTTTATTTTATGTGTTCAGCACTTTGTTTCAGCAGTGGCTGATGTTATAGTGCTTTGCAAATAAAGTTTGATTGATTGATTGATTGATTGATTGATTGATTGATTGATTGATTGATTGATTGATTCAAGTATATTTTAACAATCAACCTTCTTTCTAAAACACCCCCTTAGAACCATCATAAAATTTATGCGAATCTTCCACAAATCTATCAGACATATTTATAATTTATACACCTAAGCACCCCACACACACATTCTCATACACAAAGATAGAGACAGAAAAAAAGTGTTCGACCCCTGGATTTATTCCCAATGCCGGCATTACAACCCCACCTTTAACAAGGATTTTTTTAAATCATGCAAAAACCCACCAGGCGATCTCAACTACAATTCATGGATTTTTCCTTTTGACGAACCTAACCCAATGCTCGTGACCGGCTCATGTGGCCACCATGCAATTATGAAGTTGTACCCCCACCTGTTTTGAGTGCAGTCTTTTACAGAAAGACCCACCCCAGGATTTTGAAAGAGCTCAGATAAAACGGCCTAGAAGATATTATCACACACACCACCCATCCAAACACATATAAAGCACATTTCGCTACCTAAAAGGGCCTAAATTACTGCTATTTATTATTATTATTTATTATTTAATTATTACAGCTCTAAAAGATGTTCTTTTGAAAAGTGCGTATTTAAAAACAAAAACATGAAG